TTAAATTCATAAAAATAACCTCTGGGATATCAACTAAGGAGAATTTCTCCTAAATCCTGTTGAAAACAAAGCACACCCTTTTTCATTTTATAAAAGAAAAAGATTAAGAAAAAAAAATTTTTTTTTTTACAAAGCAATCATTTCAATTACTGACAAATTAAAAAATATAACGAAAAGAAGAAAATACAGATGTTTCATAATCCTACTGTCCAGTTAGCATCTTGGTATACATCTTTTCAGTGACTTTTCTATGACTATATGTGTATTTACTAAAACCAGACTATGCTGTATACAGTTTTATAATTTCTCCCTTAGAAGAAAAATAAACATTTTGGTAATACCTCACTTTGACTGACTAAGGTGATGACCTTGGTAGCAGCAGTAGCCAGACTTGGCTCTTACAGAGGGAAGGTAATCTCCTCCTGGGTGAATCTGGGTTAATGGTTACATATGCTTCATCTGGCTGTAAGTAGGGGAGAAGGTGCAGCCCCGATCTATCTATCATCTGTGGAAACTCTGCTCATAATTTACAAGCATGAGAACCTTCTTAGCCTATTGATTCAACTCTGAGTTGCAGGCTATTTACTTTTTCTTTCTCTCTCATTGGAGCGGTGAGAGCGTTGTTTGCTTAGTTCATTCAAAATAAGAATTCAACATTGTTTCCATGCTTCTTGCCGCTTTTCCTTCTGAAAAAGCAAGAAGAGAAAAAGCAAGAAGACAGGGTCGCAGCTGATGTTCTGGGTGTTTACCAGGTGCCAGGCACTATTTAAAGCACATCACACAATGTTTCCATCTCATGAAACTTTGTGGAACAGACACTGTTAGTCCCTCAGTCCAGTTTTTCATGTTAGAAAATGGAGTCTCAGAGAGATTAAGCAACTTTTGCAAGTTATTAGAGCTAGTTAAGTGTCAGAGCTGGAATTTAGTCTGTGATTTCTAAGTCCACCTTTTAATCACTGCACTTATTTCCTCCCAGAGTGAGACCAATTTACTTTTGCATCTTGTCCTTTAAGTACCCAAATTGCATCAGATCTGTGATGCCATAGCTTGTAAGACACCTCATTATTTCACATTCCAGTAAATAAGGAAGTGCTGCTAACTATAATTGTAAGACGTATTTCAATTTCTGAGAAGTAATAATGTGAAAAGTATGTTAAGTCTCAGAAGCGAGGAAATATCATAAAATTGTAGAACCAATTTTTATAGAAATAAGAGGCCAATGCTGTGTAACCCGCTTGTATGGGTGGTGCCGACAATGTGATTTCTTGGCACGTCTAGTGTATTCTCAGGGTGAGTCCTAGCAGGCAGGACCATACGTAATTTTCAGCTCACTTGCAGAAATGGTGGTTGTGTGGTTGGATTTGTCGCTGCAGTTGGATAAGTCATTATTATTCCTGCCAATGGTCCCAAAGCTTGGAAGCACCAAGCTGCCTAGAACTACTTAAAAATAATAATAAAAAAAGAGAACAGGGGCATAATGGAAGAGAGATGTGCAGCCCTTGTGTCTGTGATGCTGGATGGAGGACACGTGCATCTAGCAGTCCTTTCCCTGGAAGGATGTACTGAATGACCACAATAGCAATGTTTTGTGGTTTCCAGGAAATATCGGCAAAAAAATTATAACTGAAGAAGGGAATGAAATCAGTCCAACAGAATCATTCCAACAGAATTATTCCAGGAGCAGAGAGCAAGGCCAACAGAGGCGTGAACCCTGAGCCTTGAGAAATGCCTGCAGAGAAGGGGTGACAGAAAGAAGAAAAGAAGAAAGGAGAGGGGAGGAGGAGGGAAAAGCCACAAAAGGGCTAAATCACAGAAGCCAGAGGAGGGCAGAGTTTCTTAAGGCAGAGGTGGTCACTGGGGGTCAAACGCTATAGAAGGGCTCACTGACAAATGACTGTTGGTCTCGGAGTTTAATGGGCCGATAAGGAGAACAGAAGAGGCAACTGGAAGGCAGAGGAAACTCCTTTCCCCTTTATAATTTTATCAGAAATGTTACAAAGGTCAGCGTGGGAGGATCTTCACATGCTCGCTGGACAGAGCCTCACTGTACTGTCTTTGTCTTGCAAGTCTTCTCTCTAGCATCCGAGTTCACTTTCCTCCACCTTCTTCAAGCCTCCCCTCACTTGAGACCATGACCCCTCAGTCTCAGGATTACCTCCTCTCTCTGGGGCTGAACTTTCTCAGTCACCTTGACCTGATTCCTCTTCTGCTTCCTGCACTTTCAGTGTGGACTTTGCCCCCTTTCATCCTTAGCCCCGCTCTCTCGCCTGTCTTCTACATGCTCTCACTGGGAAACCTCATTTATACCCATGGCTTCGATTACCATCTATTTGTTTTTGATGCCTAAAGCCTACCTCCAGCCCAAGCCTCTCACTTCCTGACTCAGCCTCCCTCCCTCCTCCCTTCCCTTCTGTTCTTCAATTTGATACATTTTGCAGCAAGGTGTACATGGCCCAAGAGAACATACGTTAGGTACTAATTTTGCCCTTAGCCTGGTCTTCTGTTTTCTGCTTTTATTTTCCCGCTCCCTCTCCAGTATCTCTTACGCAGACTTCAGTCGTCTTCCTGTCTTTCATCTCGGTGCACTTTCGTTTTCCCAGCGTGAACCCTGTAACAGGCAAATTGGATCAAATCTGATGGAAATTCTTTAATGTCTCACCACTGCCTACGGGTTAAAACAGAGACGCCTTTCCCCGGGACACAAGTCCCTTCATGATCCAGCCTCTGCCTTCTTATCGCACTTCATCTGTACGTCTGCCCGCTCTCGCTCGAGGTCTGTCTGGCTCAGGAATGCAGGGCTACTCGTAGCAGTGGCTGTCACGATTCTCCGCCCCCGCGGGAACTGTGCCCCCTTCCCCACTTGACCTGCTGGGCGGACCCAGGCTCGTCCTCAGTTCCCCGTGCAGCTGCCTCTCCGCCTCCCGGCACAGATGCCCCGTTAGTCAGGGTCCAGCCGTGCTGGTGCGCGTCTCTGTCACAGCCACCAGTGCCTCGCGACTGTCGGCTCTTCCCTGCTAGGCTTACCTGGGGTTACACGAGCATTTTACCCTTCTCATCATTTTACCTCTGTGCCTCATA